AATTTCTTCATATCAATTACTTAAATTTTAGATATATCATAGTTAAGATGAAAATTGAAAATTAACAAAAGTAACAATATGATTAAAATTAAACTTAAATATTTGTTATTCAATTATGGCACCATGGGTTTTTTTGGAAAAATTGGATCATTGACCCACCATCTAGATAAGAAAATAGCATTAGAAAAGCATGTGCTATACTGACCTTTAATCCATGGGTTTCCAACATGTGACCTTTAATCCATGTTGGACACAACAAAAAGCTTATACTGAAATTGCCCTTTAATGTTGGGTGATTGAAAAAAAAAAGGGTTTTACTCACTCTCTCCCCCCTCACACCATCTCACCCACAGTCATCTTTATCTACTCAATGACTATGTGATTTGAAAATAAATAAAAATGGTTTTTGGTTTCTGCATTTACGTTCTCTATATCAATTTCTCTCATTCTCTCTCTCTACCTATCATTCTCCCTCAATCTCTCCCATTCTCTTTTTTTGGTCAATCTCTCATTCTCCCTTAATTTATATCATTCTCTTTCATTTTCTCTCCCGCTCCCTCTCTCATTTGTTTTATTTTCTTACACGCTTATATGGTATTAATTGGATTGTATAAAAGAACATGAGACCAACTTGGTATGATTCAAAAATTATTATACCAATTTGATAAAAATTCACAAAAAACTCTTAGCTATGAAATTTACACCAATTTGAGAACGATAGAGATTAAGGGAGAAAGAGATATTGACTGAGAGGGAGAGTGAGTAAGAAGAATGAGAAAGATTGAGGGAGAACAATAGAGAGAGAGAGAGAGAGAGAGAGAGGGAGAGAGAGAGGTTTTAATTTGGCTACAGACCGAACCTGAGAGAGTGGGAAAGACAAAGAGAGCGGGAAATCGAGAGTTGCCTATGAGAGTGAGAGAGAAGAGAGGGAGATCGAGAGACAAAGGGAGTGGGAGAGAAACTAAAAACTTATTTTCGGTATAAGTTTTTTGTTGTGTCCAACATGGACTAAAAGTCCCATGTTGGCAACAACCACATAAGCTTACGATGACATGGCAGGGGTTTTTATAATTTGAAATGTAAAGATGGTTGTCAGAGTTTTGTTGGTTTCTGGACCAACTTGCAACCTAATTTTAAATGTACAACCGACTTTGACTATAATTTTCCCTTTAAATTATATTTTTTATTTACATTATATAAAATATTTTTTACTTTTCACACTTAATTTTTGTTTGTTTCTGGTATCATTTATCTCAAACCACTAATCCACCATCTAAAAATAAAAATTGTTTGATTTCTAGGTTGACATTAAATTTTGTATTACATTTCATCATTGATAAAAGGGAATTTCCCAATCAGTACCCTATACTTTGGCTCAAGTCACAATTTGGTCTCTGAACTTTAAAATGTGACAATCCAGTATCTGTATTTTCAAAATGTGGCAATCTAGTACCCGAACTTTCAAAATGTGACAATCCAGTACCCGGACTTTCAAAATGTGACAATCCAGTACCTGAACTTTCAAAATGTGACAATCCAGTACCTGTTGTTAACCAGTCCGTTAATCAGCTGTTAAGTGACATTTGAAAAGTCAAAAACACCATTTGGATGCCATTTAATTCTCTTTATCAACCATCCAAATGTTGACAAAAAAACTGAACAGTCCCAAATCCTAGCCTCTTCTATTCAAAAAAGTTGATGATTGTTTAGAAGAATATAGAATTTGGGATTGTTCATTTTATTGTCAATGTTTAGATGGTTGATAAAGATAATTAGATGGCATTCTTAGGGCCTTTTTGACTTTTTAAATGTCACTTAACGACTGATTAACGATAAGTACTAGATTGTCACATTTTCAAAGTTCAAGTACTCGATTGTTGCATTTTAAAGTTTGAGGACCAAATTGTATCTCCAGCCAAAGTACATGGATCAAGAATTTTCCTTTGATAAAATTATTTCTTATGTATAAAACTTATTTTTGTTTAATATAATGAATGCACAATATTAGAGATGCATGCAATATTTTATTTTTTATAAATATATTACATTAGATATGTGCCCAAAATTTTCTCTATCTTTTTTTTTTTAGTTTTGTGGTTCTTTGTATTTTCTATTATTAAAAATTTTATTATTTTACTATGACAACATTTAATTTCTAGGTAGATTTTGAATTTGGAATTCCATTTTTATCATTAATAAAAATACTTCTTACAATTTATAGTTGTTTATTTTAATTTTTTATTATTTAATTATGACATTATTTATTAATCCATTTGACCCCAAATGGTCGAATTGCTTGCCTACCACCGGGAGGAAAGAAAATGGTTTTGTTTTCAAATTACTTTTCAAAATATTTATTTTTATACTATTAAAATTAATATTATGGATTTAATTACAAGAGTTTAATGAGAGAGAATAGGAAAATATTTTTATTTCCAATTGGTTTTAAATTTTACATCCATTTCCATCATGAATAAAAACAATTCTTATTTATCATACTTATTATTGTTTAATATGTATGTTAAAAATGTCCCCAATTTTTTTAATTTCTATTTTTTAATTTTATTATTTAGTCGTGGCAACATGGATTAACCCATTTGACCCAAAACGATTTAATTTCTTACCACCACCTAGATGAAAACACTATTTTTGATAGGTAGATTTTAAAAGTATAAGCTTTTATGTTATTGGAATTATTAATTTATTAGGTATGGATTTAATTAATAGAACTTAATGACGAGAAGAAACAAAAATGACTTAAATATATGATTTCAATAAACATGAATGCAAGTTAATAACTTAAATGTTGGATTTAATGAGAGAGAATTGATTGAATTGAATATTTTTAAATTACCTCTTTTCAACTCATTTAATATCAAGAACCAATTACCCTATTTGCCCTCAGTTTTTATCAATAAATTAAATATAAGGGTAAATTTTTCCCTTAGAAAATTCCGAAAATATTCTTGAGGTCATTCGTGATTTTTAAAATAGTATAGATTTGTATTGTACATATTTGTATATGTACTCATTCCAAACTGAGCCTTAAGTACAAAATTCAGAAACAAAAAAGTGATTGAAATGACTATGGTTTATTATGAGTTATAACTTATAATAGATCTTTTATAGAGAGCAAGCTATGTGTAGCAAACAACAAAGAGGATATAAAGAATAAAGTATTCAAAAAACATAAAATATGTTATTAAGGTTTTGGTATTTCTAATTAGGCTCAGTTTGGAAGGAGTACAAATGCAAATATGTACAGCGTAAATACATACAAAATAATACAACATATAAGGTTTTGCACTCTACGTATTTGCATTTGTACTCCTTCAAAACTCAGCCCTAGGATTAAGTGAAGTGATTATCTTAAAAGAAATAAATGATAGTATGTGGTGGGGGCTATACAACTATCATGCCGCTAAACAAACCAATGTATGATATATCATATATATAAAATATATTTATATGTGGTATGTACTATATAGTCAGATTCGGGGTGGATTGGGTTGCCCGAAAGATTTCGAGCAACCCGAAGTAAAATCGGATTTATAAATTTTAACCCTAACCTTAACCCGAGCATCAACCCAACCCAACCTGACTTTTTTTAGATTGGGTCCGGCTAACCCGGCCCAAATTGCAGCCTTACTCGTAGAAAACCCTCCTATTTAATTCAGATTTCAGACTACCTTGAATTGTCTCGTTTCCCTACGAGGGGGTCAGGACAATGGTCACTTTTACTAGACACCAGGTGCTGAATTTGCAAATATGCAAGAACCACATTGCTAAATAGGGTCAGGACCATTTTGGTAACTTCCGTAAGAAAATTAAATTGCTTGAGGATGAGCTGGCCCATTGCTATGGCAACATAAGGAGAGAAAAGGAGGTCAGACTTGATGTGGTTATTTATTTTTTAAATTAAACGTTTTTTTCGAGGGTTTTTTTTTAAGTTAAATTAATAAGGGTAAAAGAAGTCAAAATAAAACCCTCTTAAGTCATAATAGTCTTTAATAAAATCCCTCACTATTCATCTGCCAACCCCCACACTCCAAGTGTAGGCGGGGTTCGATCCCAAGTCTTTCACCTCAAATGTGAACCTTATATTAGACCCAATTTGATATTAAAACCCAAATTTATCAATTCAAACCTGACCGTATTCTATTTAACCCATGCATTATGTGGATTTTTAATTGTATAATAAAAACCCTAAATTAGGTGGGGAGACAAACAAATCCTTTTAGTTAAAATATAGAGTCCACTCAAGTAAGGAAAACGTGCACACAACAAACATTGTTGTTTTTAATTAACATCTTATCCTGACGTTACATTAATTAAGTAATATTTGTTTTTCAACCTTTACCATTACAAGCAACAAATAAAAAAAAAAAAAAATAAAGAAACAAAGGTGATGCAATGAAATTCAATGTCAAACCTAAAAAACCTGATAATTCCCGAATCTGGATCACCTGTGAACAAAACACGTTTCAATATTTTACCAACATGATCTGATTTCACACATTGAAACATGGCAGGTCCCACATTTACGATAGGTCCCAATCAGAGGGTGAGATGTGTGGTATCAGATCATGTTGATATGATAAAAGAACGTGTTATGTTGGCAGGAGATCCTAACTCATAATTCCTGCTGGGGAGTCAACTATCCGTAACAGCTGGCCCTTACTTCCAAAAGCTCTTCCAACGAACCTAAAGAAAACAATAAAAATCATTAGTGTGTTGGTACGTTAGCAGAGAAAAATAACCAGAGAATATTGATTTTTTATTTGTCAAAAAATCATTAATTGCAAATGGATTTATAACTACTACATCAGGACAAGCATAAATGCCACGTGATCAAGTGCCCTCTACAGTCTTCACAACTCTATTCAGTAGTGAAAATTTTGATATGATAACCCCCTCTCTCTCCCCACAATCAGTCTGTATATAGAGGGAAAGAGAAGAGAAAAGAGAAAGAAGAGAGCAACCAGTCTGTATATAGAGGGAAAGAGAAGAGAAGAGAAAAGAGAAAGAAGAGAAGAGGAGAGAGAAAGAGAGAGATGGGTTTTGAAGGAGTGAGAGAGATTCCATTTCTTGATTTCTCCAAGCAGAGTCTAGACTTGGAGGAAGGCAGTGAGGAATGGAAGGCCCTGTGCAACAAAGTTCGGGAGGCGTGTGAAGACTATGGTTGTTTTCAGGTGGCCTACGATGGGATTCCTGTGCAGCAGCATGAAGAGATGTTCGTGGCCATAAAGGAATTGTTCGAGCTTCCTGCGGAGACCAAGAAGAAGAACAGCAGCACCAAACCTTACTTCGGCTACGCAGGCAAGTCGGACGACGTTCCTCTCTATGAGAGCCTCGGCGTCGAGGATGCATCCAGACTCGAATCTGCTCAAGCTTTCACGGAACTGATGTGGCCGGACGGGAACCCGGGTTTCTGGTAAGATCGATCTCTTCTAACCTTGACTCTCCATGCACTGGATGGTTTGCTGCTTCAGTCAAGATGCATTTACAAAAATACATGCAAAATCAGGCCTTGTGATGAAAATGTGAAATAACAAACTGCTTCTCTGAGATCATCATAAGAACTGATCTTCACCTGGGTTATTGATGTAGACCTATAACCAAACACCCCCAGAGTCTATCAGACAGGAAAAAAAAAGTTAAAAAACACCCGAGTTTCTTTCCTTTGATTAGGGCTACACAACAGGGAAATGATAGAGATGGATTAGTGAATATTTTATTTATCTATTTATTCATTGATTATTGGTTACAACAAATTCTACTGTTCTATTAATCTTTAATTAAGTTCAGATTTGGTTTTTTCTTTTTGGGTAAATCAATCTTTTGTGGTAAAGGGTCCATATCTGACAGCCTGATTTAAGTGTTGGGAGAGTACAAGAATTACAGAAACAGTGACAAATATCAGTTCTCATAGGTAGACAAGAATTACATCATCATCATCATCATCATGTTCGGAAAATTATCAATTCTATAGACATGGATTAGTGACTAGTCGACATGCCAGGTCCACAATATATGTTGTCTTCTACAAGATGCAGCTGGATGGTTGTCATCTCCTTTGAACATTCAAATCAATCTCTGAACAAGTTATATCTCTGTACTCAAACTAATTGATGATATTTCGATCTTTAAATCCTTTCATGAACATCACCTGAAAAGAGAGAGAGAGAGAGAGAGAGAGAGAGAGAGAGAAACATTCATGGATGAATTCCCATAGAAGTTTACATTCCTTTTCAAGAATGTAACTGAAGATTGATTGGAATTGTTCTCTTTTGGGCAGTGAAAAGCTCAACTCCATGAGCTCAAAGATGCAGGAACTGGGGCTACTAATCAGGAAAATGATCTTCCAGAGCTTGGGCTTGGAAATGTACTATGATTCACATGCGGAAAGCAGCAATGGCCTCTTGCGTCTGAATAAGTATGAAGCTCCGCCAGCAGGCAGCGAGTCGGCCATGGGTCTGTTAGCCCACAAGGACAAAAGCCTCATAACAATTTTATCTCAGAACCACGTAAAGGGTCTCGAGGTGCTCACTAATGATGGCAGTTGGGTCTCTGTAGCTCCATCCGAAGGCTCGTTTATAGTTTTCATCGGCGAAATGCTAGAGGTATGTCTTTTCATAATTCACTCTAATTCAGTCGTAGTGAATTCACAAATTCACAATCAGAACCACCGAGAGCGAGAGAGAGAGAGAGAACAGAAGACAACAAGGCAGTCGTCCGGACTCCACACGGTGACTCGGATTTAGCGATCTCGGTTAACCAAAAAGTGAAACAAACAGTGAAAAGACAAAAAAATAATATCGCCATTGCCGGGGATCGAACCCGGGTCGATTGTGACAGGGGGGAATACTCACCAGTCACCACCATACTACAACAACTTGATGCTTTAGTTTAGCCTATCTTATAATAATATCTTTTAACCTGGGCATGAGGCAGTGGTCGAGAACCCACAGTTCCACACTCATCGTCATCGAGTCGGCTGTTTATGGATTTAGCGACAGGAAAAGGTACCGCCGTTGCCGGGGATCGAACCCGGGTCGCCCGCGTGACAGGCGGGAATACTCACCACTATACTACAACGACTGGCTGTTGTGGCTTTACAAAAAAGCCTCTCAAATCAAAATTCAGACATGAGTAGCTCAGTCATCAAGACTCAAGAGTCCAGTGAAATCGAGTCGGCTGCTTCTGTTCGGTTATGGTCTTATCACTTTTGGATTTAATTTAGGGCCGGAAAAAATTCTTTACGCCGTTGCCGGGGATCGAACCCGGGTCACCCGCGTGACAGGCGGGAATACTCACCACTATACTACAACGACATATTAATTAAAGGGCTTCCTATTTTCCTATTTATAAGATGATCTGGATACTACCTCATGCCGAACCAATTCTGTGTATAAAGCTTTTCTGTGGGTAATTCTGTCTTTTTCGTCTGCTAATGAGTCAGAAGCCAATTTACATAGTGGATGGATTGAACCCAAGTCATGGTCCTTTGATGGTTTGCCGCCTTCATTTCAAGCATGTCACTAACCCATCAATCACGACAGCTTCAACTTGCTGATGGGTCCATCTGCACCCATTTCATTTGATATCGAAATTATGATGCAGTTAACCTTTTTATCCATATCCAACATCTTCCTTACTTCCTAGTTCCAGCCTTACAGTCTTGCTAAATTGAGGTGTGCAGAGTTAGAAGAGTGAAAATATTTGTTAGAAAATAATAGGGTGGTACTGTAATATTTTAATTGCATGGGACAAAGAAATCTACTGTATGTATGTATGGTACACACATGATTGAATATTTGAATATTTTTGGTTTATTAAATGAAGAAAAATAAATCTATGGGTGGGCCCAGTTGGATCACCTTCTTGGTGAGCCTCCGTGTAAAGGGATGTCCATTATAGTGGCATCACAGTCCACACTAATATAATATAAGGATAATACTGTAGATTGTAGAACTCTATACCATCATACATCCACTAGGGGTGTCAATTCAACCTTGGCCGAGTAAAAGCTATACAGCATTTCACCCTAGAATTCTAAATTTCACTGCAGATTTACAATAATTCAAAATTTAAAACACCTCTACCTCTAACACTAATACTTACATCAATTCCGAGTTGGCACCTATTCTGTACGGTAAAGTTAAGATTTATTGGAATAAACTGAACAATAAAAACTTCTTTGGCCGATCCGATCTGGTCCAATATATCCATTGCAGATGGACCAGTCTAATATGTTCAAATTGGTTTTAACTTGGATTGATTTCAACCCAAGCCTGGTTCATTGATACCTGTATTCTTCTTTTCTATCAATGGATTGAATATTGGCTCAATCTAACCCAATTCAATAAAAATCCATTAGGGATGGATCAGGTCCAATTCAATCCAATAAATACTTTGGACCATTAAATCTATACTGATCCAATTCAATATGTCTTATTGATCCATCTAATCTACTAAATTGATTTTGATTTAGACAGGACCCAACCCAAACCCAGTCCATTAACACCCCCTACATCCACAGCAACCAGTTATTATACTGGAGTACCAGTGTAAATGTTCACCTTTATAAATTCATCTGACCCCTGTTTTTTCTTTTTTTTGAATCATAAGGTACATTGAGTGTAAAGGGGTCGCCATGGTTTTAGGAAAGGTTTTTAATAGGCGCCAGGTTTACTTATTACCTTCACTGAATCCTTCGTACTTTTAGCACCTGAAAATTATTTACAATTTTACTAGTATCGTCAATATATGTACCATAGTGTTTTTTTAAGACATTGTACTTTAGATTTTTCTGTGGTCATTTCTTACAATAAGGCTTTACAAACAAACATGGACCCCACCATTATTCACTACCCATTGATTTGGGTTGGGTTCGGGCCCATTGAAAATCTAAGAAATTTTCAACCCAGTTCGACCCAAGTTGTATGCAAGAAACCCACAAATCAGAATTAAAAATATTTTAAATATTTTTTAAAATAAAAAATAAAAAATGAAAATTTTAAGAAATTAAAACTAGATCTCTCTGTCTCTATCTTTTGTGAAGTTTTTTTTTATTCTTTTTCTGCCTCAAAGTATTTTTCCCTATTCTTATGAAAAAGAGAATTGGCATGCATGATAATTATATTGAATGAATATATCTCAATTACGTGAATCAAGATCAAGTAAGAGTTGATAATCATGAATTGATGGTTGATAGGCCTGGAGTAATGGGAGACTTCTTGCACCAAAGCACAGAGTAGTAATGAGCGGAGACATAGAGAGGTATTCGTTTGCACTGTTTTGCATACCAAAGGAAGGAGTAGTGATTGAGGTCCCCAAAGAGCTTGTTGACAAAGAGCACCCACTCCTCTTCCGACCCTTCAAATACATGGATTTTCTTCGCTACTTCCAATCAGTCGTTAATTCCAACGCATTGGAAAACGAAAATGTACTGGGTGTATATGCTGGAATCTGATGGTTTTTATATGTGTATGTGCATATATGCAACATATTAAGAATATGTGATGTTATTTATATATATATATATATATTGGGAAAATTATAGTGGTTGTGAATATGCATCTTTTATTAAATTTATCTTTCCCTTTCTCTTCTCTATACATTCACTTGTAAGGTGTGATGAATTATTACAATGGGTTATGTTAAAATAAAGAATATATGGTTGATGTTTCACTCATGAAAAGGATAAGGAATCATAAAAATAGAAATAAGACCCATTTGTGAGCAGTGCATTTTGAGAGAGAATTATATGGGATTGGCTATATGAATCCTGTTTTATCAATTTGTTCTATTTAAAGCCACTGTGAAATATTCTTAAGTATCATGTTCTCTGAAAAGTTCCAATAACTTGGTTCCATCCTTAACGATAGGTCGATAGGAGCTGCATATTGTTGTGCGAGACACTCCATATAACTGCTATGCCAGGCTTATATTAGCAAGTCATGTTCTCTGGTTGAGAAAACTATAAAAAGTCGAAGAAAATGTCTATTTTGATGGTTATGAAACCATTAACTTATTTCTACAACCAACAACAGTACATAAACATAAAAAAACACTTGGGTTATGTTTGGTTTAAAGGAAAAAGTAGGGAAAGGAAGGGAAAGGTAGGAAAACCTTTATAAACATTGTATGGATCTCTCCCTACCTTTCCTTTCCCTACTTTTTCCTTCAAACCAAACACAGCCTTACTTCCATGGTGACTACTTGCTCATGAATCAGATGAAAAATGAACACAATCACAAACTTACACTACCCAACAAAAAAAAAAAAAAAAAATCACAAGCTTACACACTTGTAATTTGTGGCACCCTCCTCCTATTTGGCTTTCTCACTTTCTAGGAAGAAGAGAAAATTCATTTCCAAGAATTGCTTGCTCACTCAACCAAAATAATCCAATGACGATAAAAAAAAAGCAAAAACAAAAGAAAAAAAAAAAACTCCAAATAACACAAATGAGCATTTTCACCATGAAAGATTATGAGAAACAATATACAACATCTTTTGATTAGCAAATCAAACCAATCCTTAATTCTTGTATACCATTTTCTTTTCCTTCTCTCAAACTAAAGAATCCTGACAGGTATAGAAAGAAGAACCCACTTTTACATTAAAGCTGCGATTGGTTTGAAGGAAAAGGGTAGGGAAAACTGGAAAGGTAGGGAAGGACTGTTCTCAGGTCTCAACATCTCCCTCTCTTTTTTTTTTCATTTCTAACAAGAAAAAAGAGAAAATTTCTAATCCTACATATAAAAAATCTTTTAAATGTAAAATTTACCTTAACATAAAAGAGGGAGCACATCAATCATTAGATAAGAACTTAATTCAACGGTTAAAAAATAAGACACAATTCCAACATGGTTCACTGTTTAAAAAATAGATTTAACATTTCTTGGGTTGAGTGGTTTAATTAAATTAGTTATTTTGTACGGTATAAGGATCAAAAGTCGAAACCGCGAGCATATAAGGTGCTTGGGTTGGGTTGGGTTGAAATTGGTTTCAATGTGCCCTCAGTCAAAATCTATTTTATCTTTCACACTTTTAAGCCCCAATGCTCAGTTTGGAAGGAGTATAAATACAAATATATATGTAGAGTGTAAAACCTTGTATTTTGTATATATTTATATTGTACACATTTGTATTTATACTCTTTCTAAACTGCGCCTAAAGAAACAAACCTTACAACCCTAGCTAAAGCTTAAGACTTTGTGCATCAGGTTTAAAAGTGTTTTGGCTATTTTTAAAAGCAACTCTTAACAAACTGATTTAAGATTAAAAAGAGGAGAAATATGCAAAAAGACGAGTGGGTCTTTGGACAACAAGGGCTCCTTTTTCATGACTGAAGTTAAAATTGGGTAAATTACCACTTAATAAGTCGTTTAATTCAGCAATTCCGACAGTTATCAACCCCAAGGACTTCTCTCCTTTCACCTTCAACTTCTTTCAAAGGCCCGGAGAAAAACCTTCACCGACAATCTTCTTGTGTTCTGTATCAGCATTGACCTGCAAATTATCTTTTAGGGTAAATGGTAGGGCTGTTCATAAGAAGGCCCAACCCGACCAAACCGACCAACCCGAGTTGGCCGGGTTTTCATCAGCACTGGTCGGTTTCGGATTATACAAATTCATAAACCAATGATTCGGGTCGGTTTCGGTTTTCTTGTGTGAAAACTGAAACCGACCCAAACCGAACCGACTTAGTTCCTATTTAACTAAGTTGTCTCTATCCTAATTCCTAATTACAACCTAACCTAGTCTTCTAGTTAGGATTCTATAGTCTTTTACACTGGATAGGCAACCAATTAGGCAATTACAATTAGAATTAGGTGCCATTTATTACTTAGAATAAAACTTAGAAAGTTTCTTGAAATATACAAATTTCAGTCTTATTTTTCTAATACAGTTTGACTTTCTATTTTCTTGATAACTTCTGTCTTCTATTCTAATTCTAACTTGGTCCGCCCCCCTTATCCCCTCAACTCAAGCACAATCTCTATTCTCTAATACAATTTGACTCTCAACTCAAGAATCAAAAATTTAAAATTTTAAGTTCTCAAGTCTCAACTTCAAGACATCATTTGAACTTGGCTCTCCCAACTCCCATCTTCTCAAAGTTCTCATTCTCTCAACTCAAGCTCAAGTCTCATTCTCAAAGTCTCAACTTCA